TATTATCTATTTATTTGTTTGTTATTTGTTATCAGAACATATACATATATATTATTAATTTGTATTATAAGTAACTTAATCATTTATCAAATTTATCAGCTAGTTATTTTATAATGATGTTATTTTTTTTTAATTAAAGTTACTAATTTTTACTCCCAATATTATCATACAACATTTTTTTTTTTTGCTTATTATCAGAATATTTATATACATATTCAAAATTATCGATTAATATCATATCATATCAAAGTTTTATTGGCCTCATGGTTTTGAATAAAGAACTGTGCAAAAAAGTGATGAATACCTCTGTATATGTTCAGTGTGGTAGTTCGTACCGCAATGCGTACCATAGCTTCACAATGATTTCGAAATTTGATGACTTCTGTGTACAATGGAAAGTCCTGATTAGGCTATAAAATCACTGGATACGAGTATGAAATGAACCATAGTCAGGATAAAGGACTTATAATAAAAAACAGACGAACCTCATTGAAAAAGAAATGTATTGTACACGCATTAAGCTTGAAGGAAAGCGTTTTCAGAAAGGATATATAATAGGCCATGATCTCCTCATTTTCAAAATTAAAATGATATGTGATGATTGAATTAACATGGTTATTGCTGAGCAAGTAATCTGCAAATAACCGACATATTCATTACCATGCACAACTGCTTAATAAAAGCATTGCTCTACAAGATGAATGAAAGAAGACTGCTGTATTCCCATTACTTCAAAAACGACAAAACAGAGACAAACTCACATAAAGAAGTCTTGTGCCGTATATTTTCGAATAAAATGTTGAGCGTTTGCAACAATTGAACACAGATAAAGGATCCGCAGTTTTGTTTCATTATGGAGAGGAAATATTCCAACATTTGTCGTTCTAAGAAAAAACTGAAAATTATACATGAGACGGTTGCGCCGATCATCGAGCAAAAGAAAAAGAAAGTCTTGGAAAAACATTAACATATGCCTCCATCAATCAAGTGTCAATCCTAAGCCATCTCTAACTGAAATAAACAATTGTGAGAAGAGCGGCCAGCAAAACCGAAAAAAAACCACATTTGCAAAGTAAACTAAATTTAATTTCATTTCGACTTTTCATAAATTTAACCACTGTGCAAGAATGTCTACGGGGCTGTGCATTATGACTGGGAGTGGTAATTTGATATATAATAAATTCGGATAAATATACTACCTACTCGAAAACAGAACTTTCGTTCTGATCACCCCAAATCAGAATTTCAGCAATTGCTCTCAGGCATTCCACCAGCAACTTTCGATTATTCTCTGTAACCTGCTCGTTCTTGCGAAGTATTTCATGTAAATATCTAAAAATTACTGAAAAACAGACACGAAAGAAGTAAGTACTTATTTTCAGATAATCAACAATCTAAAACTTATGAGATAAAAAGACTACTGGTCGACTTGAACATGGTCATCTGGCGCACAATGGATGGCTCACTTTAAATATTCCATCGAATGCGGATTTTTCGGTTTCCATAAGGAGGATAAGCCCAACCGTCTAAGCATCGCATCCGCTCAACAAATTTTAGCAATCAGCTGAATGAACACATCACATCCTCTGAAACAGTATGTAATGAAGGAATCCAGTATTTCACAAAATCGAACAAGCACGAGGGCCATATCCCACTCGTCCCTTCCTACTAAGTCTACATGCCAACAAGCCACCTGCACTCCCATCCTCACTCCAAAAAGGAATATAGCGGCACCGCCATTTCCATTAAAAAAAACTACGCTTATTTGAACCATTCTCCTCACCATTTACCGTTGTGATTTAACAGTACCGAAAAAGTAGCAAACCGTACGGGAGTAGCAGGTTTAAATATAGTTTGCATTATGTTACTATTCATGCCCATCTCTTTGCTATCATGACTGGTCACTACGAAAAGTTTGTGGCTCTAGGACTGCGAATTTAAAGTTCGCGTCAGTTTCACTTTGCTCCAGCTAGGGCGTTTAATTGAAATAACTTGATGATAGTTAAGCTCTATCCGAAAAGACTGGAAACGTAATGTTTTGATGGTAGCCAAACCGGCCTGGGTAAGCAGATTGCATCTAAAAATAGTTTTTGCCTTAGAATTCACACTGGGGAATTTAGTGTGATGATGATACTATTATCAAGTGTATTTAAATGGTTCGGACATTTCGGGGACTTCTAATATTTCACTTGATAAGTCAGTCTCTCCACTTTTATATCAGACTATCGAGAAATAATAATAATTTTGATCGGTAATAACAAAACCATACAGTTCTCATTACGATGAAATTTCCACCATTTCAACGCACAACAAAGTTCCTGAGTTTCTTGGTAGCAGGAGTGGCTAACAACTGCCAATAATTGAAGTAGTGAAACAAAAACGCTGAAATCTTCAAGATTATACTGAGGATTTTGTTTACTTCGCGCTGTCGCTAATTGGATCTTGATCACTAAGAATACTTCAAAAAAAAGACTGGATCATCAAAGATCCAAAAAATGAATGTAAAAATGATTTGAAAATCTAAACAAACCTATCTTGCAGCAGTTGTCGATACCAACTCATCTTTCTCATCATTACTTGTCATGGCTTGGATGTGAAATAAGGAAATGGTAATTTCAGGAGGCTTCGTGAAAACCCTTCCAGTTATTTTCTCAAAAGTTGTTTAACCATTTGAATTTCTATGTTTTGCAATGGGTTTTACTACGAGGAACTAGTAGTAATGATTATTTACTAATATTTCCATGTATTTATTTGCATTCAAATTGAAGAACTCTTAAATTTACTCGTTCTTACCAACATAAATGAATTTGGCAATTAGTGGGACTTCACCGAAAGGTGAGAGTAAGAGGGGACGAGGTACTTGGTGGTGTCGTTCTCCATGCTCTTATTAATTAAATTTTTACACTGAACAGAGAACCAAATGATATTGTTGACCTTTGAGCTGTTTCTCCGCACATTATCTCACTTACTGATCTTGCGCGTATATACCAGCACCCTTTCATGGCGTTTCTACTTTTTCCAATTTATTTTTGCAATCTGTTGTTTTGATAGCCCGTTAGTTCATGTTCCTTAAATGGCCTTTTCAAAGTGCTGACTTTAATTTTTCTTCAGAAAATGACAACAAAAGTGGAACGTCTATTTGATTCTTTAAAAAAATTACAATTTCCATAATTCGAGCAACAGCACGCATCCCTTTGCGCAGTGTTAGCTTGCTTGACCTGATCGTGAAGGCAACCTTTTCATTTAATTTATCATCTAATTGGATGTTAATTTCACAGTGCAACAAAGGATTTTTTGATTTTTTAGTTAGTGGTTTTTCTCATAAGGGGTTTCAGTCTAGTATGTTTTTTAAATTTATTATTTTTTTTCTTGTAGGATTTTGGATATGTGGTTTGTTGTTTCCTTTGTTTAGACCTTGAGCTTGTGTTGGTTTTTTATTTTTTATAACTAATTTTTCTTGACTTGGTGTTCGTACTTTTACTTTAGCTATTGATAGTTTTTTGGTTTTTTTTGATGGTGATCATTCTTGAGAATATGTGTTATGCTTAAACACTATTCACATGCGGGATTACTTACGCGCTGCGATGGCTTATTGAAGTTCAGTTTCGCTGTTGAGAAATTCAGAACTAAATCGGGGAATTGAGTGTTTAATTCATTCAACCGTACAAACACCGCGAGAATTCGATGCTGCATTTGGTTTCTCCATGTGTTACTTGTCCTCGGGCTCGTTAATGACACTTGTCGCAAACTTCCATTATGTTCTGTAACAGAGACCATGCTATTCCTTCATGTACATTTTCCTACAAACATTTCGAAAATGACTTTTCCCTGCCCTTGCTCAACTAGGAAGCTTGTAATTCATTTGATCATGACATTCTGATTTTTTCGTTGGTCATTTACTGTTTGGTAATATCACTTCCACAGTGATAATGTTATGCTCAACTCTCTTGTCCTGTTAGTTTGTATTCCGAAGCTCTAAAATATTTAAACTTCTCCAAACACATTTACCTAGTTAATATCACTATTTCTTACAAAGATTTCATGTATAGCGCCAGTAACTTGATTATATTAAAAGCTAGTTTATACATTGCGTAATTTTGCTATAACTTGTTGACTTTTTTCCTTTTATTTGATGTAATTTGTGTACAGTGTCTCATCTCATTCCGCTGTTATTAATCCCTCTTTTTCTCTTCCGAATCTTAGCTATAACTAGGTTTTACATGATGATTTGCTAGTAATGCTTCACTCTTCTAACTTTTCAATTCATTAATTAACATCGTCCCTTGTTATTTGAAGTGGTACTCTTTTGCTAATTTGAAGTAGCATTTTTTCAATACATTAATATAACCCATTACTCAGTAACCCGTTTTCCACTACAATGAACCATTTCCACCATTTGTCGGAAATAAATGTAGTCGCGATCGATATTACTAGATGATGCGATGTAGTCAGTCAATGTTCTCACTGCAAGGTATCATTACCTACACCTATTTCTCATTTCATTATTTCTCGAACTCTTGTCAAGTATTCATCCTAATATGCTAACTGTTTAGATGGCATGTCACCCTTCTTGATCGCTCCATATAATTTATTACGTATAATCTATCCATGCTAAAAGCAGGTGTTGTTTATCTTTTATTTTTCACATTTCATTATTATTATTGCCATTCATTTACTATTCCTTGGTTCTTTCTTTTCCTTTGGTAATGTATCCTTAAGATTGGGTATCATTCTTATTCTATATTGTTCCAAAAGTTCTAACTTATCAGTCCATTGTTAGCTTCTGTTATTTGTGGCTTTGTTTCTATTCTTTTCACTTGTCTGTAACGACTACTTCTTGGTAATTTTAAAGTGTTTTTATTCCAAATGGTCAACTGTTGACATTTGTCAGTCAAAGTTTGTATACTTCTTCTAGTCCTAGAGCTTATCAGCACTTAACTCTGTCTTCTTCGCCAGATAATCGTGGGTTCTTGTCAGATCTGATACATCTACCACTTCATCATTTCAATTCATCCTCTGTATTTCCACTTTTTCCTAGTGATTTTGTAAAAATGTTACCTTTTTTATGTCCAGATATGTTTCATTTGTTAGATATTTTGATTATTCTGGAACATTTAGAATTCCTTCTATCAGATCGCCTCTCACTTTTTCTTACCAGAGCACTTGCTCTATTCCACAACTTCCCTGCTTCTTGACAAAGCATCGAAAATTTCAACTCGAGCCTTTCATTTCATTTCAATATATTTTCTTTTGCTCTGTTTGGCTGAAATTTTTGTAGCTAAGTTCTTTCGTTATAATAAATGTCGCTATAGTTAATATCATTTGACTCATATCTCCAGTAATACGATTCGGTTCTTCCTGGGATACCATATTTACATGTAATGGTTTGCGTACTTCCATGCACGTTTTTTTCCCTCTATCTTTTTTCTCAGTCTCTCCTGCACCTTATATTGCAGAAGCAAGGGGCACCATAGCCCAAAGAACGTTTGGCATGGGAGGAAATATAGGATGTCGTGAGCTTAACTTCTTGTTCTTTATCGTATTTGCTTGTCCAGATTAGAACTAATACTATAGAGACAAGGGTTGCCAACACTGCGAAATGAAGCAAATTTCATATTCAGTTTGTTTTATCAATCTGAATTATTAAAAATAACGAGCATAAGATTCATACCAGTGAGGCAGTTAAGCAATGAATCGCCAAATATTGTTTTCATCCAAGATTTAAACCTTGAAAAGAAGTGTCCTTAAATGCCGAAAATAAGATCATATCTTTCTGAAGAAGAAATTTTCCTAATTCGATAAACTAGAAATTGGGCAATTTGAAATAAGAAATGATAAATAAAAGCCTTTTGTTTGCGCTTGCTTCATACCCCTTAACTTGAAAATTGTCCCAATTTTTCTTTTGCAACAAATACTTTACCAAAAAAATTTAAGCCAAGAATAATGGAAAAGAGAAGGCTGGGTTAATTTTAATCTAAAATAAAATACTGAGAAACATAGGATCTGATGGAAATGACTTACCATAACCCATCAAGAATGCCAGCCTTTTTAATAAAGCACCAAAAATCGTATAAGAGATAAAAAAAAAGATGTCCGGTTTCAGGACCAACATGCAATGATAATAATAATAATAATTAGTAGTAATAATAATAATTAATAATAAGGATAATAATAATAATAGTAGTAGTAGTAGTAATAATAATAATCATAATAATAATAATAATAATAATAATAATAATAATAATAATAATAATAATAATAATATAATAATAATAATAGTAATAATAATAATAATAATAATAATAATAATAATAATAATAATAATAATAATAATAATAATATATTATATATATATATATAATAATAATAATAATA